GGATTAAACGGATGTATTATTACGCTTGTAAGTGAGAGTGGATGTGTGAGGTATAAAGTCAGTAAAAGAAAAATGAGAAGGAAATCTCGCCCAGCTATATGAAGTTATTGTTGTGTGTGTGTGTGTGTGTGTGTGTGTGTGTGTGTGTGTGTGTGTGTGGTGTGTGTGTGGTGTGTGTGTGTGTGTGTGTGTGTGGTGTGTGTGGTGTGTGTGTGTGTGTGTGTGTGTGTGTGTGTGTGTGTGTGTGTGGTGTGTGTGTGTGTGTGTGTGTGTGTGTGTGTGTGTGTGTGTGTGTGTGTGTGTGTGTGTGTGTGTGTGTGTGTGTGTGTGTGTGTGTGTGTGGTGTGTGTGTGTGTGTGTGTGTGTGTGTGTGTGTGTGTGTGTGGTGTGTGTGTGTGTGTGTGTGTGTGGTGTGTGTGTGGTGTGTGTGTGGTGTGTGTGTGTGTGTGTGTGTGTGGTGTGTGTGTGTGTGTGTGTGTGTGGTGTGTGTGTGTGGTGTGTGTGTGTGTGTGGTGTGTGTGTGTGGGGGTGTGTGTGTGTTGCGGCGGGACGTAGCGTTCAACCGCCCGTTGGACAAAATCTTAACGAGAGACTTGCAATGCACACACCAACCGAGCGTTCTGCTGTTGATATATAACCCCCCCCTTTCCCGCTCGGCGGCTATTTTGGAGAAAATGTAGTTGGACTGTGTATCATCTGGTCTCAGAATCAAATAGTGTAGTAACAGCTGGGGGGGGGGCGTATCGAGGCCCTCCAGAAGGGGAGGGGGGCGTAAAATTTTTGAAATTTGTCACGCAATGTATGACTTAGGTGGACATAATACATCCTACAGGCTGTCATATTATCCCGTTATTTTGTATACATGCCTCACATTGAGTTTTGATTTCTTGTTTTTCTCGCAGTTTCTTTTTTATTTGCGGAGAGGGGGAGGAAGGCTTTATCAAACTGGAAATTCTGCTAGACTACCAATATTTACAGTAAGGTGGCCACTGAATCGAGCTTTTGACCACTTCATTCCAGAGCTGCTCCGTAGCTGTAGAGTCCATCTCGTTTGTTAGCGTTTACCCATATGGAGCCGTAACTTGATGGAGTTGTATTCATCGCAAACACAAATCTCTTATTGTGATATCGAATTTATACTTGATGCTACGTATCTCCAAACTAGCAGTAACTTCTCAGCGACCAATTCGCATTGAAGTAACAGGAACTCAGTTGATGAATGCCATTGAAGAATTAAAGGTGAGCTTTTTCTTCAGCAGCTCCTCCTCTCAAAGCTTTTGAGTTCGAGTAAAAGAGCTCTTCCTGCAGGAGGACTTCTACCGTAATCGAATGGAAGATCACTGGTTGTTGCCTAGCATTTCGCCATTGCTTCGCTGACTGCACATGAACTTGAGAAAAGTCGAGAGAATTCTTCGATTGCGGAGACTCAAGCCGGTGATAGCATCGTATAACTTCAGGCGGCGGGGACAAACCGTCTCTTTTCAAAAAGCCAAGTTTCAGTCGGATAGCTCTTCCCGTTCATTCAACAACGAACAGTCGGAAAAGGTTGTTGTTTCCGGTTGGTTGATAGCTAGGAGTAGACTTTTTCAAAGAGGAACATGTCGCTCTCAGGAGTTCAAGAGTGAGGAAAACGGCTCCACTGCAGAAAAACATGATGATGAGGAGGAAGATTCTGTAGCACAGCTCCTCACGGAGGCTGAAGTAAAGTCTGCTCAGCTAGACAGCCAACTGAATGTACTGCAGAGGAAAATCAGCGAAAGCAAGGTTACCTCTTTGTTTTCCAACTCTTCTACATTTTTTGAAGCTTGATTTCCTCAGGATGTCGATGAGTCCACACGAATACGCTTGAACCATTTGCTCCATAGACTTAACTCTTCAGCGAGTTCGATCCAGAAGGTTGGTGGAGGAGATAGTGCAGAAGAACTAAGTAAGTTCTGTAACAAGTTGCCAAGCTTGTTGTGCAGTTGCTGCGTTGCTTTACAATACTAACCCAATTGCAGTTCACAAACAGTCCGTTGCCTCAATTTTGTCTTTCGATGTAACAGAGGACGATATACATCATGCCAGGAAAAAGTTCAGCAGTGAAGAAGCAAAAGTAAGTGAACATTGCTTAGGGAAATTTTATGCGGCTTCCAGTCGGCTGGCCTTAAAGACAAGGATCAGGATTAAAATAATGTCATGATCCTAATAAAATATGTATGAAAGTACGAATGGGAAATGCACTGAAAAAGAAAAAAAATGGAAAGAGCTTCGAAAAACAGCGAAAACACTAGCCTTTTTGCTATACGCTGCGGAGAAGTCTGATGGTAAGGAGCAGGTAGGGGATGAGAGATAACGTGAGTCGCGGAGCTGGTAAAGAGGTCTGAGAGAGCATAGCAGATTGACGCGACATGACAGACAGACGGAAGATATCAAACGTTGGGCGGATCCTGATGGTTTTGGTGGGACCTGGTCAAAGTCTTCAGCGCCTAGCGTCTTATCGTTGGTGACGCGCTTCGATGTGCGAAGGTGGTGCGATCACTGCAGTGGCAGACGACACTCTCTATCCACGGGAAGGACTACTTTAGAAGAGGCTGACGCGTTTTGCCTTCCAAGGCATGACTTATTATGAGTTTAGGTTAACGAATCCTTTTGGTGGACAGGATAGAGTTGGTCAAGAAGTTTGCAAGGGTAATGGCTTCCCTAGGACCGTTTTAGCCGTTATTTTTCTATTTATTTTCTCTTCTGCAGAATTTGTGCTCTCTCGCCCATCCTCTCTCCTCCATACTCACTCTCTCATTGCCTTGACACAAATGCTAGCAGCCTTTCTTGAATG